TGGATCAAAAAAATGCTTAGAAAATGTACGTGCTAAGCAAGAATAAATTGGGAACTAGTCACAAACCGTGTACAATGCATGACTTTTTGGCTGGTGACCGGTTTTTGCTGAGCAAATATTTCCGTGCTTAGCAAATTTCCAAGTATAGCAGATCCATGAAATTGGTTCCCGACTGGCAAGAACGCGGTGTTAGTGAAAAGGGGCCGGATCACGAGCTGGGGCGCCGGGGGAGAAGTGGGCCCTTCATCGGGTCCAGATGAACGCGATTGCGTGCGACTTATCTTAATGAAGTTGTTACCGAGTGGGAGCAGTAAACAACCTCCCCCAAAACCACGAGAAAGAGGCAGGAAGGAAATCACCTTGCTCCGTGGTGAAACAATTCAACTTTACTTACAGTGAGAGAAATACGTGCAATGACAGACCTATCAGACGAAGACCATGTATAGGCCTATGAAAAAGTGATGTTCTGAAAAAAAACCTCAAGCAATTTACACTAAAGGTGAACTCAATTTTCCGATAGCTAAGGCTCATGGCAGATTGTAAGTTAAAATTGATTCTCGAAAGAGGAGATTAAAATGTTCCATTGCCTTGTCAAACCATGGTCAAACTTTTTTCAGTTCTCCCATCAAATGTTTATTCCATAAACTTCTTTTCCTGTGTTATACACAAACATGCCTGAAATGGGCATGTTTTTACTGCTGTAAGTGCATGAAGTGGACGCCTCTCTACTCAGTTAGCACTTTCAAATTTAGCGTGAGGCCAAAAAATTTCCCAGCCGGTGGCGGTCCGGCCTGGCTCGCCCCGCGGCTCCGCCGATCACGCTTGAGTGGCCCGTCAATCTAAATCCCCAGACCCTCGAAAAAAATACGCCACAGCGGCGGCACCGCAAAGGGTTGGTTGGGGATTAACGAAGGGGGGTAAATACGCCATAATCGGTCAGCACCCCAAGACCAGCCGGTCCATTGAATGACAGCTATACAAAAAAAGCTGGGGCTAATTGCTCCGCGCTGGGGCTAATTAATTAAATACAGTATTGTCAGGTGTAGGGGACAAACAGGTTTGGGAATGATCCCTCCAACTTTGTCGTGTACGTGCATGCGCAAGGGTTGTTCTTGTGGGATCTCGTGCAGCCTTGTTGCGGAACAAAAGAGCTAGTTACGGAGTTTGTATGTAGGAGAACAAAAAGTTTGGGGCACCTTCATGCACCCCTCTCATGAACCCTGTCAACCCCCATTCTTGTTTGGTTGGAGGTGCATCATTACTTATCGAGTTATTCATTATGAGCTGCCGTGTCGGCTTCCTTTGCTTTTTTATACAGTTTGGCTTTTAGTGACTCCCCTTCAGGGTAGGTATTAATTAATTGGCTTGGCTTTCTCTTCCAGTGGTGTTTTTCCTTCGGATCGGTCAGACAACTTTTAAGTAAATAAATAACATCGTCATTGTATCGTGGGATCATGGAGCCATAAAAAGATGGTGAAATCGCTCCGATTTGGTTGGTGTTAATATGATTATTATGTGACGGGAGATTAACGAGGTTTCTTGCTCTATGATTAACTTAAAGACTTTTTTGTTTTGGTTTGTTAACTGTTTTACAGCGTCTGTGTTTAGATTCAGTATCTTTCCCGTTTTTACAAGGCACAGAAGTCGTCATAATGAGTCGTAACAGAATTTAAACCGCTGAAAAGTCCATAAAGAGCTGTAGGCATAGAAGCAATGGACCACCAGGGTTGAGGTTCTTCATCACGATATCAGTTGCCTGCCTGACATTTAGTATTTTATAATTATATTTTACAACGCTGTAATTTGGACCAGTGATTGCACAAAACTGCTAAATTTGGCGGCCTCCTCTGTCGTCGTCGTCATTATCGTCATCATCTGTATCTTTCATCACCGTGGTTCCCTAATCACGTCCCAGCAATCGCCTGGCTTGCACTCACCGCCGGAGCAGATGCAAAAACACCGCCTCCTCATCAGATCCCGTGCACATAGCCCTAGCTCTAAGCATCAATTGCGCGCGCTTTTGCCAACCCGAGACTCACTCTGCGCCGCAAAACTCATACTCGGTACACCCGTGGTTCTCTCCCCATCACCCCACCGCCGGGCTAAAACAATGCGGTGCTTCAAAATACCCCCTTGTCATCACCGCTTTCTCCTAGCTACTGTTGATGTAGGCCCGGTCTTTGGCCTCCCTTTGGGAGGCGGAGGGAAGTTTAGAGGGGCTTTTTTTCTGTGTTCTCTTTGGGTGTGAATTCGACAAGCGCGACTCGACTTCTCCGAGGCATGAGGGGTGGTCTGTGAGGGAGGAGATAGGGTCTCGTATACCGCTAGCGTGACGGATGAAAGGCAACCCCGATGTGTAAGGAGTGCTGGGGATTTTGCGTGTTGACTGATTCTTTTCAGTTGGAAATCATTTTTTTTTGGCCGGATTATTGGTATAATTATTGCCTGAAAGTTTAGCTGATGATAGCATTAGGCCACGGGCCTGTGTGTCCTTTGTCCCAGCTACTTTTTGGACTATGTTTTGAATCCGCATAATGCTGTGAAAGATGACTTATAATTTGTGAGGAATATATAATCTTGACCTTGTCGACAGTCGTTGTCGGTGAGGGCGCTCTCATTTAAACTTTAACACGATGTGATCATGTTAAATGGCATCCAAGGATTTTGTGAAGATTGTTTTTACTATTTTGGTACAGTCGTCATTAAATTTCACAGCAAAATCAACGCAACCTAGTTGTGACTGCTGACTAATCATTAACCTATAATTCCTGTTCTGAATATCATTAGATTTTGAGGGTGCTATTGATGTCAAGGAGGGCGGTATTGATGTAACATGAGGGCGCTATTGATGTCGAGAGGGGGCGCTATTGACACCAAGAGAGGACGTTTGGAATTTGAAACCTGAGTTTACACAACCCCGTCTCGTTCAGTTCAGTTAGCTGATGGGTCGTGCGGTCATTCAACCTCCCCTGGTTTCGGACCGTTATTTGATGCTGGAGCTTTTCACTCCGCGAGGGTTCAGCTCGGCTGCAAATCCCCATCTCGCATGCCGAGCAAATCCCCCGGACACGAATGCAGCTTGGCTTTTCGCAACATCTAAAGGGCTGAACACGTGTGTTAGGCATTATTGACAGAAATGAATTCCACAACCAGAATGACTTTGCATTAATACACAGACTTGATGATCATGAGCCGTTCTGAAATATGGCAAGTTTGGTGGTCGAGCGGTAAGCAGGAGGTCGTGGGATCGAGTCCCATCCGAGTAAGTTTGTGGATTTTTACTCGCAAACCCTCGGCCGGTATACCGGGTATAAACAGTGTTTATAAAATACTTCGTCAAAGGCAAAATGCAAATTGCAATATAAAACTAATCGTGTGTGTTTGAAATCAGCACGCGACTAGCTCTCGCAAAGAGTGGGTCATTGTGCAGATTTCATCAAGGCACAGGCATCTCATGCGTGTGCGAAATTCAATATGCCTTGAGGGTAAATGGAATGGATATAATCATCATGAAATGACTCTTCAAAATGTTTCTCGTGTTCACAGGATGCCGCTGTTATTCATGACACAACCTAGAATTTAAAAAAACCTTCAAAATACCGAAGGGAACATGACTGCGAAACTCAGCCCGGATTCCCCCTCATCCTAGGGGAGAAATGTTCCGATTCCTGCTTCATCATCCGATACACCAACACCTGTAATTGCTTCACCGTGTCATAATTTCTGTCAAGAAAAAAATCCGGGGTGAACAATGGTCCGTCTTCAGGTACTGAACCAGAAAAATTGACTATGCTAATTTCCATCCATCAAAGTGTTTTTGCTCTTTCTTAAACAAAGTAAAGAAACACCTCCCATTATGTTAGCTGATCTCCCCCCCCCCCCCCGTCCCATCAACGGCATGTCCCAGTACTTAATCCTAGCCGTGTTGGCCATTCTTGAAGTGCCTAAAACTTCTCCGTCAATAGCTGGGGAACTGGCCGCGTTGATTGAGATCGGCGGGGGTCGGTGTCCGCGGAGCCTTTTAGAGTTCTACCGCGTCGTCACTCAGCACCGTACCGGGGATTGTCAGGCCCGAACCCCGGCCGGTCATGAGCAGGCGGGCCGGTGGAGAAAAAAGAAGAAAAACGCGGGGATATTTTGAAGGGGGAGATATGCTGATGTGCTGACAGCTCACGCTCGAAGTTTTTCTGATTTGGAAGATTTTTTCTTTTAAAGGCGACTAGGAGTTGAGTGATTGCGGCAGGACCCAGAGGGCGGGCTGTGTGTGCTTCGTGACTGATAGGGTATTCTCGGTAGGGCGGTTTCTTGTCATCGCATAGGCGTCTCTCATGAGCGTTGTTTGCAGTAGTGCGGAAATACACGGTGCACGTGTTTTGATTGCGATGATGTTAGTGTGTGATGATTTCTCGTGACCTTTGACCCACTCAAGTTTGACGACTGCGAGAGTCGGATCTATACATAGAATACATAGCATTTAGCACTTCCTTGTTTCTGAAACCTATACCGGCCAACGAGGCACGTACAGGTATTCAGCAGTGCATTAGATGGTTTTCCGTCAAATTCGTACAATGATTAGAAGCCAAATAAAAAAATGTCTGCAATTTGGTTGTTAAAAAGGTCACGGAACAGCGCCCCCTAGTGTTGAATGGTGTCCAGCCATCTTTCTTTTTTTCTCTCGACACCTTCTTCTTGTTACTTTAAATGTGACTGAGTCCGCACAGATTTAATTACTTATGAACAGAGTCTCGTTGTGGACAACTAAACTTTTTTTTAAATACATGTACATGTAGACGAAAATAAAACTTTGGTGCAAATTCAGTGACAAAATAATGTTCATCCAGAATGTGAAGACGAAACATTGTTTATTGTGATCGTAACCACAAAAAAAATATCCAATAGCCGAAAACCACGGAGGAAGGGTGATCATACCAAAAATGCGTACCCTATACCAACAAGAGCAAAAGAGTAGTAAAAAATAAAAGTCCTTTTCTTTTCCACAGGAGATATCATATTTGAGAGGAAAAAATTATTCCACGTACTTAAAGGAAACAAGGCATAGCCCATTTCCACCGTGAACTACAGCAGTGAGCTCTTCACCAAGGATTTAAAGGTAATTTACAACATTTGCAAACATAAAAAAATACCAAATTATTATGAAATACCTTACTTGACTGTAAGTGAATGATAGTCTCAAGCATCCTGTGAAGTCATAGCACTTGGCGTGCTGTCATTTTCAAGAAAAGTGGAATTTTTGTTTCAATTTCCAACGATGGTCGGCCGACCACGCTGGGGATTTTTTCAAATAGTTCCACCAATTTACCAAACTAGTTAGTCCATATTTTGTTTGCAATCAGTTACACATCCGTGAACGGGTGCAAGCCAGCTAGTCTGGTTCCCTGACCTGAAAATTCCTCGACGTCAATACATTTATCTGTTTCGTCTGGTCTGAAGTAGGGTCAGGGAACCAGACTACAAGAGCAGCAATTTGTCCTTGTTTTTTTTCCAGCATCTATATGAACCCAAACTTTAAACAGGTCAATGTAACAATATTTGCTACAAAATACTAACCCCCAAATCCATCCATTTCTGAAAATTACAGCAAAAGCAAATGTATATAATTACCTATAAAATGCAAAACTCCGATGTTCCAGCATTATTCAATCGCTAACATCCAGTCGTGTCATAGGGGACAAAAAGACCGACAAATCATGCCGAGGACAGATTTAGAGCTGGGGATTTACGAGCTTCATTAGCCGGCCGATCAGTTGCGCTTCCTTTAGCGCGGGAACAAATCTGTAGCGAAACCACCGCCGTCTGTTTGACCTCCAGGTCACGGAATAAAAGATGGCTGCTGGCGGAACACGCAGACCGCGCAGTTGGTGACAGAGATATCACTTTTTGATATCGTTATGACGGTGCGGATCTTTCACAACACCAAATACTTGCACAAAATGAGTACTTTCACAATAATACTAATCACATTAATGCGTTAAAGACATATTTCAATCAGCTGTGGAACTTACCCATCAAAACTGTGTGATCATATTTAAAATCTGTGTTAAATTAGGCTTCCTACTTTTACTATTTGTGTTTTGTCTTCGAGTTTCTAGTCTACCTAAAATACTGCCACTATGTCATCCATTGTTTCATTGTATTTGTTGCCCAGTGGTGTAACTTTAACATCTTCGATTATTGTTTCAACATCAGTTTTTGCATCACAAAATACATGATATGTTATTTTCTCATTGCAGAAAAGAAGACCTTTGAACCAGCCGACGGGGTTTGAACTTGAGCCAATAAAAAGTAGTAAGACTTCAGGGGTGAGTGAGCTAGCCTAACCATAGAGCGTTCCTTGCTCTATGGTCTAACTACATTTAACTATAGATAAATACACTAACCTGACAAATCGAACTCTGTAAGAGGTTCGTCTTTTCGGCCCCATCAGACATTTTCTCAAAGGCAACATTTTATTGTGAGATTGTTGAGTAACTTTAATTTTCCCCAAACCAGCAACATTGTACCATTAAGGAATAATAGAGGATTTTACAAAATTGATATCGATACACCTGCTATAGGGGATAATTGATAAGCGATCTAGCAGACTACTCCCTCCCCGTTTTTTACCCGGTTGTCGGCTCGTTCACAAAAGCATCTGGTCATGTTCGGCGTAACTTTGATGGGATTTCTTCGCGATCAATCATTTAGAAATGTCAGCACGGGGACCCTGATCCGAGCGGAAAGCGAAGGATTTATATCTACCGTGTCTCACCCTTGTATAGTCGATGGGAAAGACATTGTACACACACGCGGTCACGGCGGACAAAAACTGCGATTTACTGTCGTTGACGTCTCAGCGTTTGGATGGGTGACAGTTGTTATGTTGTGTAGGGTATTGACACCAAGCTGCTGGAAACACCATAACACAAGAGCCGCGTGGTGAGAATGCGGCGACAAGAGGTTGCATCGAATCAATTCAAGCCCCATTGAAAACAATGTAAAATCAACAAAGTTCATTGGCCACATAACTTGCAAGCCGACATCACTGGGGTTTCTCAACAAAAAACAAAAATCATTGTCTGGTCCTTCATTTTTCCTTTTCTTTTCAATTTTTGGTGGGTTAGTCCAATTACATTTTTAAATATTCACACCGAAAAGTGATACTTTCCTAAGCCCGCATGCGGCCATTTTACAAATGGCATCCCTCCACTTTCTCGGGCAAATAGGACCCATTTTCGACCGCAATTTTATCAAGTCTGCCCTCAGATGGAAGCCCAAAAATCAGGGAGTTGTTCCTCGGCTACATTTACACAATCCTCCCCTTTTTTTTCAAGCCAAACGGTCTTCTTTTTCCAAAAAAAATGTTGTGGGGGCACTTTTCATGCTAATGAGCTGGAGTAGCCAATTCTCACTTCAGTTAGTTCTGTGCACCCATGAGTGTAACGATTTCGGACGCCATTTTCGGTCCAAAAATGGAGAAAACGTAATGTCATGAGATTGTGGGGTTGTTTTAATGGTACACTGTATTGTCAACTTGAGAGACGGAACTTTATTTTGAGAAACTGATGATTTTTCATGGGATTGGTTGTCATTTTTTTTTTATACTGAAAACTTGTTCAAGTTTTGTGGCTTCTCGACAATCTCGAACTTCCTGGATCAACACGAAACATGTAAATGTCTCTAAAAAGGGCGCACAGTGGGTTCATGATTCTTCCATACAAATAAAAAGAAAACATCAAATTACACGTCCTCAATTTAGGAGACTTTAAAGTTCCCCTCGCCCCTTCCTAATGAAAAAAAAAATATGCAGTTATCGAAATAACTGCCCACAAACATTCAATGAGGATGAGTAATATCCTTGCCTTTATTAGGTTGATGAGTAAATAACTTGTCTCTTGGTGGTTTTTTTTCTGAGGAATCAAATATGAAAGTGATCGTGAACATGATCTGGACCGTGATACCTTATCTCGAGGACTGTCTATCTTTCCCTCATGACAGCCGAACAGGCGTATCTCATACTCAGAGAGCCGTGAAAGTCACGTACACATCCCCGTCCTTAACCATGACCACTCAAAAAAAATCTACCTCCACTCCTTTGTCTCAAGACTCTCATCATGTAAAACTGCCAGACGATGATTTATGCCTTCCTACATGTCCCCGCCGCTCATTCGAAAAACACCTGAAAACTGCAAACAGCGTGACCCTCCGTGCCGTCCACCTGTCCCTCATAAGATGTTGTCAGATGGGTATTAAGATAACGTCAGGAGTTATGATGGAGAGCGGTGTGGGCTGTCGAGACAGTTGACGTGACGTGTGTCAGGGTTTTATGATGGACGTGGGTTGAGGGATTCTCACGGCGTCTGTCAATGTCATGGTGTGTTCTTTGAAGGCTTCATGACATGAGTACAGTGGCGCCGGGATCTACGGGGTTTATGGGGTCTAAACCCCCTCTTGGGACGCAAAAAAAGGAAAAAATTGTGCAGAAAAACACAACACATGCCTGCTTTACCCCCCCCCCCCCTTGACAGCTCCCCCTTGGGCCAAAGCTGGATCCGCCCCTGAAATATGATTTGGAAGGAGTAGGGTTTGGACCTGCGACCGCCGGATTACCGTCCCCGTGCTCTTCCAACTGAGCTATCCAGCCCTGTACGTTGGCGGATCTCCGTTTTGTCAGTGTCTTTGTTCAATATATTTTGTACAAATATCCATTCCTTGGAAATGTATGTGAAAACTATGAGATATCCATTTCTGGTGAACGTTTTCCAAAATGCACTTTTTGCAGCATTTTTTTCTTTACCTCTAAAGCCGTGTTGTTTTGATGTCAATTAAGGCAACATTCTTCTGTTCAGGATTTTCTGTTAAAATTGTGAACCCAAAATTTTACTAAATGAAAACATTTGTATGATATGTACATGATTTTTTTTCTCCCATTGACTTCTCGACATCGACACCTCTCCATGAAATAAGTTTCCAACTCGTCTCAACACTTTTAAGGACAACTTCATCCGAGCATCTGGGCTGTCGTCACGCTTACGTCACGTCTCTGAATTGGGTTTAAAAGAGGAGCGTCATCAACCTCCACAAGCTTGATGCTGAATTTTATGGCAGAAGTTGACATGTTGCAGTGAAAAGTTGATCCAATCATAGAATGTACTGCATATTTAGACAGTGTCTTGGGCTGTTAGATTATGAAACTTAATCCGTTAACTGGGCCGCTAATAGCTCGCTCTGTAAAACTCCTCCGCATTCCCTTTTAATCATCGGTGTTCTCTTTTTTGTGGATATGATGATGCAGCGGTTTTTCTTGAGTCATCGGTCTAGTTTCCAGCGTAGCCGTGAAGAGAGCGGCGCCCGGATGCGTTGTTGGAAATTCATCCTTCACGCAGAGAAGAAACTCTCCACGAAGGTTTTTTTTTTTGGGGGGGGGGGGAGGGGGGTTGCGTTATTTTTAAGAGGAGTGAATTGGATTGATGAGGGGATATTGGCGTGGCGTGAGATGACACTGCAAGAATCTGGGAAGTCTAGGACAGGGGGAAAGCATGTACGGGGGAAAGGACTCTCCATCCGCTGCAAGATTGATGTGAAGCGTTAATTGTTGCCAAAACCTGCGAGTTTGACAAGAGTGACTCATTGTGCACGTATATAAGCGGTTAATATATTCCATTTTTAGTTGATTTCTTTTCCTAACAGGTTTTCTGTGTTATTCACATCATTTGCGGCATCTGTGCGGCGTTAGGTGTACGTCGTGCTTCAAAGCGATTGCGCACTATATAGGTAATGCTTTGCGATCCAGTTGCGTAACTATAAGGGAAGTCTACGGGAGCCACACCCTCCCCCGCTCGGGGCCTGTATAACCCCATTAGGTAAGGCAATAAAATAGATCCGGAAAAGACGCCCAAAGTGCCCCCCCCCCCCCCACACACCCATCCAATTCCCGAAAATTTGACCTGTCGCGTCCAATAAGCGTTGACCAGTTATTTTTTTTCCGTCGATTTTTTTTCCGTTTCACAACTTCACCACCTCACCCCGCCACATGTTCATCATTAAATTGCAAGCACAAACCAACGCCATTCCTCGATCGCTTTAAAATAACATTGCTCATTACAAACCTTTATCCACTAACCAACCCTTGTACACCACCCCGTCTTGTTGACATTATTAATTGTCAACATACAACATCATTCTAAAGGCAAGCATCTAGAGCCGGTGGAAGCAACCTGCCAACTACAGGTTGAATTGAGATCTAGCCTTTCTCTCCCACATGTACATTTTGAAATAGTTATAAAATTGTTAGATTTTTTAATGGAGATTTTTTGGGGCCACTTCCGCTTTCCAAAACCCCTGCCGTTGCCAGCATCTCACCATCCTTTTCTACAAGAGACCCCATCACCATAATATGTCATCCTCACATTTTCGATGTCTCATAAGGACTGTTTACGATTGCCTGCGACCGTCCCAAACAGGGTCATAGGCCATAGCGCAATCCCAAGACAGAGACTAGAGAAGGGTCTCATCTCGGCTTGACAAGCCGAGCGTTAACCGATATGACAAGGTTGCCGCAAATCAACCTGCCAGCCGACTGGGGTTCATAAACCTATCAATTATCTTGTCAGAAACTTGTCGGCTGAGTATGGGTATAATTAACCGCAGATGCTGACAAGCGGGAGGGTGGGGAGATTTTTTCTCTCTCCCCAGACCTCTCTCTTTCAGTCGTGTAAAACCGATGAATTCAGGAAACAGCTACACCTTAGACAGTTTAGTCGCAGGAGTTTTGTTTTATGAAAAAGTGTTTTTTTTTATTGGCATGTTCTTGATGGATGACATGTCTCGTATATTGTGTCAGTTGCGTTGAGACACACTCGGGTCTGTCTTAAAAGTTATTAAAAGTGTTAGTTCGGCGAGTTGTCAGCTTAACGGTTGTCTTGGGATGATCAGGTGGAAATCAGGCTTGAAACTCTTGAAGATTGTCAAATCGTTTTATTTATTTCTTGAGAAGCTTTGCTGTGAAGTTATTATTTTATTTTTGGGAAAATGTGAAACAGATATGCCCTGAGTCGCCGTATTCTGGATTTTCCTAGTCCAAGTTCCAAACTTCGCAGTAGCGTAGCAGGATCCATTTTGCAGGGGGCGCTTACGGGACCCAATTTTCCTGGTGGGTTCACAATGTTATTGGTCATTATCTCAAATAATACAAAGCTATGTTTGCCTTCTTTAAATTCTGAGCGGGGAGGGGGGGGGGGTGCACAGGCCTCAATGGGAGGGATGGGGGCCGACCCTATGGTACCCCTTTGTTTAATAACGCACTGAAGTTTTCTCGTGTGTT